ATGTAAATTTTCCCGATAGAAATATCCATAAGAGGATCCAGACTCTATTTCGTGAAGGACACTGAAAGAACAAACAAACATTTCTCCATATTGCTGGACCTTCTGAAAACACTGACAGAGTAAGGGAAAGTTCTTATTTTGAACTGTAATGTGAGATTGAGAGACTTTAATTAGACAAACCCCGTGGTGACAAGACATCTCCAATCGCAAGACATTGATAGAGTAAGAGAAAGTTCTTATCTTGAACTGTACTGAGAGATCGAGAGATTTTAAAAAGGCAAAAAAAGTCAGCTCCCATCCCGAAGACTCACCTGCCCGAAGCAGTAGACGAGGCCGACGGCGCCGCCCACCTGCGAGCCGAGGACGTGCGAGATGAGGAAGTAGACGCCCCCGCTCTCCACCCGCGTCCGCTCGCAGATCCCCACCGCTGACACCACGGACGTCAGCACCACGACCACTGGACGCGCGGGGAGAGACAGCGAAAAGTGAGGCTGTCTTCGTAGTGTCTGTCTGTCTGTCTGTCTTCTCTCTTTCTTTCTCTTTCTCTCTTCTCTCTCTCTCTCTCTTTCTCTCTCTCTCTCTCTTCTCTCTCTCTCTCTTCTCTCTCTCTCTCTCTCTCTCTCTCTCTCTCTCTCTCTCTCTCTCTCTCTCTCTCTCTCTCTCTCTCTCTCTCTCTCTCTCTCTCCTTCACTCATTTCTCTCCCCATACTCTCCCTCTCACCTCTCCCACTCTCCCTCCCTCCTCACGCCCGTCAAACATCCCCCCCCCCCCGACGACCCCCCATTCACTCAGACGACCCCCTTCACTCACCGGAGACGACGACGACGAGGGCCGCGAGAGGGACGCCCGCCTCGCCGACGACCCAGCCCACCCTCAGGAAGACGATGACGCCCAGGAGGTTGACGAGGCAGGAGGTGAAGACGCCATCCCAGGTGCCGAAGAGGACGCGCTCGCTCACGAAGAAGGTGCTCTTCCACCACGGCGTGTCGCCCTGCGGGAGGGACAAGGAGGAGGGGCGTGGCTTTGGAGTTTTTTCTTTATGTTGATGTGTTTGTTTTGTGTGTGTGTTTGACGGGGTTATGTTTTTTTTTTAAGGGGAGGGGCTGGGGGTATGTTTGGCTGTATATTTCCCCTTTTTCTTTGGTTGTTTGTCTATCTTCCCCCTTTCTCTGGCTATCTATCTGTCTGTCTGATTCTCTACCTGTTTATCTGCGTATCTATCTATTCGTCTGTCTAACTGCTTGGCCTATTTTCCTACCTCACTCTTTCTCAAATAACACATTTTTTATCAGGATTCACCTCCCCTTGTCTTTCCTTTTTTTTTATTTTATTTATTTTTTTTATTAAGATCATTCTGATTTATCTGATTTACGTTAATGAAATATATTGTACTGTTTTTTCTTTTTTTTACATTTTCACCTACGTTCGTTCAGCCTCCGTGTCTTCATTTCTTCCCTATCCCTCTTCCTTTAAGTATCATCCTATCCTAATTCTCGTTTCTCCTCTTTTCCTGTTCTTCAAGTGTCTCCTCTCTCTCTCGAGTCATTTTCCTTAGAACTGCCTGCCTATTTTTACTCCTTTTCCTCCTCTTCCTGCTTCGTCTGAAGATCTTTCTTTTTCTCCTTTTTTTCTTTCTTTTTCTCCCTTTTTTCTTTCTTTTCTTTTTCTTTCTTTTTCTCCTTTTTTCTTTCTCCTTTTTTTTTTTTCTCCTCTTTTTCTTTCTTTTTCTTTTTTCTTTCTTTTTCTCTTTTTTCTTTTCTTTTTTTTCTTTCTTTTTCTCCTTTTTTCTTTCTTTCTTTTTTTCTTTCTTTTCTTCTTTTTCTCCCTTTTCTTTCTTTTCTCCTTTTTTCTTTCTTTTTCTTCTTTTTCTCCCTTTTTTCTTTTTTTTTTCTCCTCTTTTTCTTCTTTTTCTCTTTTTTCTTTTTTTTTTCCTTTTTTCTTCTTTTCTCCCTCTTTTCTTTCTTTTTCTCCCTTTTCTTTCTTTTTCTCTTTTTGCTTTCTCTTTCTCCTTTTTTTCTTTCTTTCTCCCTCTTTTCTTTTTTCTCCTTTTTTTTCTTTTTTCCTCTTTTCTTCCTTTTTTCTCCTCTTTTCTTTCTTTTTTTCCCTTTTTTTCTCTCTTTCTCCCAGCTGCTCTCCTGCTTGCTTCCCTTCCCTTCCGCCTGGCACGTCGCTCCTGGCTGCGAATCTCATTGTTGGCTGCTTGCTTGGAGCCTCCTTCTTCCGCCTAAATTGTGTTGGCCTTTTTCCCCTTTCTCTTATAATCTATTTATCTATTTATCTATCTATGTCTGTCTATATCTGTCTATTATCTATCTGTTGTTTGTCTGTCTCTATCTATCTATCTGTCTGTTTTGTCTGTCTATCTATCTATCTATCTGTCTGTCTGTCTGTTATATGTCTGTCTATCTATTTATCTATCTGTCTATCTTTATGTCTGTATGTATATATTTATGTGTGTGTGTGTGTGCGTGTTCATAATATATATATATATATATATATATATATATATATACCACACACACACACACACACACACACACACACTCACACACACACATACACACACACACACACACACACCACACACACACCCTCACACACACACACACACACACACACACACACTCACACACACACACACACACGCACTCACTCACCTTCTCCTCGGCGAAGAGCTCGGCGTCCTGGCCTCCGTAGTATCCTTCCTCGAGCGCCGGGTCCTTCAGCCGCGTGGTCTCCGAGGCGTCGGTGTCCCCGTCAGACACGAGGCCGAAGCGACTCCAGTCCACTTTGGATTTCTTCATCTTGGGCTTTCAGGAAATTGGACTATTTTTTTTTCCTATTTTTTCTGTTTTTTTGTTTTATTTTCTCTCTTTCTTTCTTTTTTTTTTTCCCTCGGGTGTTTTTTCGAATCGCCACTTCTATTAATTTTCCTCCTGTTTTTTTGCTTTTTCTTTCTATCTATTTTTCTTCTTCTTCTTCTTTCCTTTTCTCTTTTCTTTTTCAACTTCCTTGCCGTGATTCGATCAAGCCTTCATATCTCATTTCAGTGTTTCCGCTTCCGTTATATTGCCAAAACCTCGTCTGTTTTCTCTTTTCTCTTTTCTTTTTTTCTTTTTTCTTTTTTTCGCTCCTCCGCGTGGTCTCCTTCGTGTCTCGTCGCTGTTGGCGCAACTCCCGTCACGTTAAGTTTGCCACACGAAGCTTAAAATGAGATTACTCCGGTGGCAGGATTCCCCGAGGGCTACGAGAGGCAGATGCACGGAAGGGAGAGAGAGAGAGAGAAAGAGAGAGAGAGAAAGAAAGAGAAGGAGCTAAAAGAACATTTCCGGGTCGACTGCCGGGTTAATAGTGTTTTTGTTTTTTTGTTTTTCTTTCGGAATAAAGAGAGGGTTCATGTGCAGAGTTCGCGGAGGTCCATTTGCATGTGGAAGGGAGTATAATGCGAGATCTTGAAGGTGGAGTAATGGCTAATTTCTGATGTTATGTTCTGCTAAACGGAGCTTCTTTCAAGTGCATGTTACATCTACTTGCAGGACATTTACTCGTGTTGCAGAGAAAAATACAATGTAGGCTGAATAGCTCTCAGCTATTTGTGTATTTCTATAACCACATCGTATCTCTTGTAACAGTCGATGGGACGTCACTGTCTATCGGACCTCGACTCAAGATTTCATACGGAAGCACTGATCAACCATTTTTCGATCCATGTAACCATCCAGCGTCTGACGAAGCGCCCTTCCTTCCTGCCAGGGTCGTGGGCGGCCTCCTCGACGCCACCTGGAAGGGAGAAGGAAATGTTATCATTGTGGGTCCTGCAGAGCCCTTCCAATTTCACATCAACCGCCGTGAAAGTCTCTTCAGTGTTCACAAGACTTACACGGACGCAGTCACACGGGCATGCGAAGAAGCACTTGCATGTAATGCATCTATGGATACATATATATATATATTATATATATATATATATATATATATATATATATATATATATATAACAAACAGAAAATCATTGGCGAGTAGGTAGATGGAGAGAAATTAACAATCAGAAAGATAGCTATATATGTAGGCTGCGAGTCCGTGAGTTTTTCATGAAAATACATTTATACTATAACGAAAAAAAATCCTCATTGCCATTTTCTCTTTTCCTGTGTTAACTATCATTTCTTTTACACCAGCATTAGTATTCACATCCAGTGATTGATCTAATAGGGTCCTGTTCAACACAAAATTCTCTCCGACTAAAACCCATAACATTAATCATATCAAATAATACATGACTATTATGACACGTAGAGCGAAATATTCCGTATGTGCTTTTCATAGGCGAGGCTTAATCGCACCCGATGGAGTTCCATTCAAAATAACAATTGGCCGGTCATGCTACGTTATTTTACAGTATAATTGACATGCTAAAAAAAAAAAAAAAAAAAAAATAGACGATAAGCACATCAATAATGAATAATAGGCTATCACTCTGCAGGACTTTTTATTTAGAATAAAAAAAAAAACGATAACCGTAGCAAAGATAACAAAAAATGGATAACATATAACGTCATTTTTTTATTCTAGAACACCAACAGACACTCCATAACTGTAGCTGAAATATGAGCAAAAAAATTCGCAAACCCGGACTTGCAGGCGAGTTGAACGCTGAATTCCTATCGGTATCTATAACAACGTGGGTGAGGTGGAAGGAGAGAGAGAGAGAGAGAGGAGTGAAAGAGGGAGAGGAAGAGAGATGAGAATAAAGGCCGTATGTTATTAAAAGCAGGAAAACGGGGGTGAAATGAGAGAGGCGAGGTAGAGAGAGGGATAAAAAGGGAGAGTGGGAGTGAGGGGAAGAGAGAGAGACAGAGGATGGGTTGAGAGGGGGGAGAGAGTAAGAGAGTAAGAGAGAGAGAGAAGAAAGAAAAAAAAAGAAAGAAAAGAAAAAAAAATAAAGAGAAACAGAGAGAGCCAGACGAAAGCCAAATATATATATATATATATATATATATATAGAGAGAAGCATACAACGATATATAGATAGATATATACCGATTATAATAGATGCCCAGTATATTTATATATATATATATATTATATATATGTATATGTATGTGTGAGTGTGTGTGTGTGTGTGTGTGTGTGTGTATGTATACGTGTGTTGTGTGTGTGAGCGCACAAGACGAGGAAACGTGATCGGCGAGGGAATTTCAGGAAAATAATTTGCTTCTCACAAAGGAAAAGCAAGTGCAAGCGGGGAACACAGAGAAGCTTTTTCCGCAAAGAAGAAGAAGAAGAGGAAGAAGAAACTAATGTAAAAGACTGGAAGAGAAAGAATCAGTAAAGTGAAGAGCGAAGAGGAAAAAAGGAGAGGAATCATGAATTTTGCAGCGAGAACGAGAAGGTGGGAAGGAGCTGCGCCACCGGGGAGGCTTTTGTCTGAAATATTATGCATCAACAAATTCGCCTGAAAAGAAAAGGGCATTTCAGGGACTCTGCGCCGGAACAGGAAGTGGTGTATTGCGGCACACACACAACACACACACACACACGCACACGCACACACACACACACACACACACACACACACACACACACACACACACACACACACACACACAACACACACACACACACTATATATGTATGTATATATATATATATATATATATATATATATATATATATATATATATATATATTCAGGCCCTGGCCAAGCCCCCGCCCCGAAAAAAAACACAATCAATCCATCCAACTGAACCGAAAACAAGGGACCGGCCACATAAATTAACATCTTTCATACTGTAAAACTGTAACCAAGACCTACTTAAGTTCACTTTTTCTCAGCAACCACAAGGAGTTGGGGGGAGTTCCTGGGCGTAGAAAGGTCTCGAGGTCCTGCGTGGTTTAGGCTATTTTAGGCTATTTCGCGTTCCAGTAAGGGGTCCCTATTTGGGGTCAGGATGCAAAAACCCCTTAAAATACCACAAATATTAAGCAACAGTATATGGTTGCAGGTTTATTTAGGGTGCTATGGAAACCCTATCACAAGTAAATTACTAAATTAGACTAGGTAAGGTATGAAAATTTGCATACACCTTATAGACCCCTTAAACACCCTTTAACAACAGAATGGGTTAGGGAGATGATTGAGGGTGCTATGGAAGGCTATGACAGAGTAGAGGCGATTGGGCACGGTTAAATATAGCGGCGTAGGTACATGCATCATTTTATGGGGAGGGGCCTCTTAATTGTATTTTGAGCGTGATATATATATATATATATATATATATATATATATATATATATATATATATATATATATATATATATATATATATATATCTATATATATGTATGTATAATTTATATATATATATATATATATATATATATATATATATGTATGTATGGATGTGTGTGTATGTATGTAAAGTTGGGGACATTTCCAGCTGGTACACCACGAGTGTGAAGGTGACAATTTTTATCTGGCTATACATGAATATTGTGTAGTATTTCATAAGGGAGAGACGTAGGTTTGTAACGATGACTGTGATTGGTTGAAAGAATTTACAACAAACAGGAAGGAAATCCGAATGAGGAAATTATATCAGATAGCCAAAACCATTCAAATGACAAAACAAGAAAAATGACTGACTTATCAGAGTTTCGAGGAGTTTGAATCGCCTTGTTTAGTAATCCTCAATGGTACTTGGCTATTGGAGACGTTCCTTCTCTATATATATTTCGCACTAGAAAATAGAGAGTAAAGACCGTGTCACACTAGCACTTTTTCCGCATTACTTTTTCCGCTGGCACCACAGAAACCGCGGTCATTTAGGCTCGCGCAGTCACACTAGCGATGAGAACCACGGAAACAGTCCGACCAAAATTCTAAACACAGAAGGATAGGTTCAACCCCCGCACAGGCTCTGGCGATGATGGACGTTATTCTGGCTAAGTGGCGACGATTTAATGCGAAACAACGAATGTATAAGGCTAAATAAGGGCGTATTCTCGCTATTCTCATCTAGTCAGCTGACGGGGACAAATGTAAACAAACAGGCGAGCAGCTAGTTACAAACTTGTATCTGTTTTTATTAAATACAAGAGAGAATTTTGCCAATTTTAAAATATAATTTACAGTTTAGACTGTCTTTTTGAGTCGTTTTATATTATAAATACTTTTTTTACATTACTATAACGATTATCTATTATAGCTTATCATTTGAACGAAAAAGACCACGGAACTTGCCAGCGAAAACGATAATTATCGTTTGACTGGAATTTATCGCATTCACCCAAAATACAAGCGGTAGCGAGAAGAAAACACGGAAACGTGAAAGAACCACGGAAATTGTTCTAGTGTGACACCCCCTTAAGGAATACATGAGTGACATTTTATGATTTTTAAGTGTTAGAGTTTCTGAAACATGAATATCAACTTGGGATATGCTCAATATACAGTCCCCCTTAACGCTATCTCTGACGACCTGAAAGTAAATTTCTGACCTAAAGTTCTCTGCAAATCGTGATATTTAAGGGATCACTCCATGTGAAGCGAGTGTGCATAAACAACGCATTGAGCAATTGAGTCATTTGCCTTTCATGAATCCCATAAGGAAGCCGCGGAAAGACAATGAATCAGGTGAGTAAAGCTTACGATTTACATTTACAGATGATATAATATGTGATTCGTACTTCGCATTCTTTAAATAATCTGTTTTACATTTGTAAATTTAACGAAAAGTCCTACATATATTTTTACATGCGCATTGTTTGCTTAAAATTAATTTGAGATTAAATAATGTTTTTCTATCGTGATTCTCCTAAAGGTTCCAGTTATACCATTTCCAATTGTTCTTTTTT